TATATTTGCGATCTCGTTGACTTCTAGTTGTCTAGTCAAGGAAAAGCGCTTGGAGACCCACAGAGGGTTCTTTCTGCATCACAAAAGCAGCCTTCTTGCCTAAATACGGGAGAGCGGCGAATTGCTACAGACTGTTGCTGCTTATCCTCCACGATGCGTTAAAGGTAAAGTCGGTAACAGTCGCATCTATCAAGTGGAACGCTCGATTCTAATAACTGTCTACTAATTTCATAGTAATAGGCATGTTTTGTTTTGCTATTTTGTCATCGGCTGTTTCTCAATCGGTGCAGTCCATCCACATATAGCATGGACCTCCACGAAAATCTTTGCTAGCTTTGTTTATGTACACTCAGTTATTTTAGTCTATTCAATTTAATTAGTTAGTTTAATTCATTTTAGTTTACCTTTGTTTGGTCAGTTAGGTTAGATTTTAGTTTATTTTCAGACTTATTAGCGATATGTGGTTCTTTTTCGGGCTAAAATCTTTACTAGTTTAGTCTATCTTAGTCTAGTTAGCTTGGTTTATTTAACTTATTTGTATTTTAGTTCAGTTTTCAGTTTCGTCAATTGGTTGCTCTCTCAGCCATGGTAAACCGTGATAGTTTTAGGCTTCTATCATACATATGTATAGCATGCGGAAGGAGATGAAGACACAAACACAAATACGCACTGCATGGCAGCGGCAATGAAACAGCAAGAGGCGAAACAACCTACTTTAGACTGAGTTGCACCATGAACGGCGAGATGTCAACACCGTGGACAAAGCCATCAGCGTCCAGAGGTAGATTAACCTGGTACTCCTTTAATCCAAGTCGAGCCAGCCACTGGGGACCAAGGAGACGGGCAGGAGGGTTGAACCGCAGGAAAGCCGCCGTACGAGGAGCCACAAGTGGAACAGCCATTTTTAGACCAGTTCCACAAGCACAACCTACATCCAGAACAGTCTCTCCAGGCCTGCATTTGCGAGGAAGAAGCAAAAGGAGCATTTAAATGTGCATAATAAAAGAGCTCTGCATGTTGTACATCAAGGAGAACAAAGGGGTTCATGCGGTATTGAAGCTCAGAGTATACCGTAAACTTGACCCGGGTCGGTCTCCTTTTGTCAATGATTGCGAAAAGGGACCTGCCCTATTCTAAGACATATGAGCAAAGAAAATATCTATCCAGAAAACAGCAATGCCCTCGTTTAAGATAGGCCTAATCTATTGGCTACAACCGAACTCGACGTGCCGGAGATATAGCACGTGCAGATTACTTTAAAAAAGGAACAGATACAACGCAAATGAACTTTCCGCCTGTGATGTGAACTAAACAATTATAGCAGCAATTACGGAAACCTGTGGACTGTGAACTGCAATTGGACATATCCCGCTCAGCCAAAATACGGCGTGTCGTTTGTGTTATTTCATGAAATCTTGATAGAAATTATAACATTTGTTTTCGATTCGAAAACATAAAGAAAAAGTAGACGCGATAACTGGGACAAGGACGTTATTTGCCTGATTTTTCGGATTCCAGCTCGAATCCATCTTGAGAGACAGCATCGGACAAGGGTCTGGCGGTTAGTACAACCTTTCTTTTGGAGGCGTAATGGGAGCCAAGTCCGTAGAATGAAATGCAATCTCCACAAAGTGCCTACCCTTCACATTTTAGCATGGCAGTATTCTTCGTGTTCGGTGTGTTTCGCCGCAAAAGTACGTGTACTGTCTCATCTTTGTGCTTCTGGACAAGTACAACAGTCGAGAAAAGCGAGAAAA